ACTTGCTGCCCATCCCTATTTTATTTTTTAAACTTTTTTTTTAATTACTCAGTCTGGGATTTGGGAATCCTAATAACAACTTCAAGTTATAGTTTGCCCCTTCTCAAAATGTGGCCTAGGGTGCTCTTGGAGTGCACTTCAGCTATGGAGAAAAGAAAGGGAAGACTGGTAATCAATTACTCAAGGAGGTTGGGAGATTAGCTGACTATTCTCTACATCTATGAGCTGAAAGGAAATCACTTGCCTGTCTCTCACTTTACTTTAACTAGGGGTGATGAAGAGTTAAGTGAAAGAGTCAAATATAGATTGTTAGTAAATGACTAACAGCTGTTCTCTGCTCTGACAATGCTATTTCTTATCTTAAACAGTAAACAGTAATAATAATAGTAATAATAATAAAATTCTTATTTTGGTTACAGACCAACATAAAATAAAAGAATTGTAAAAATTACAACCAGTAGCTGAAGCAATCTGGATAATTAAGTGTAAAAAATAAGAAACTAGCATTATTTTCATAAATATCTATTATTACGAAGAATTGATACTAAACTTTATAAAAAATTGGTACAACATAAAATATAAAAGATTGTATTAATAGACATGTGAAATAACAGCTAAAAACCCCTACTAATGATCAAAAATGAAATAAGTTATATGATGTAGAAAATAACTACAAATTAGCATTAGTAGCACAAAAGTGTAAGACTTCATAGATCTAAAAATTAATAAAAATAATAGAATATAAATACTAAGACTATAACATACAACATTAAGCTGTAACATAGCAAAAACCAATAACAAAAAAAATGTCTAGGTGATTTAAACTATAACACCCAGAAGTAAAAGTATAACAATGGGGACGGACAGTTTCCCTCTGTTCTACTAATCTACCAGCAACTAGTCGCTCCTAATTCATCAATTCCTGTTGGATTTTACATGGAGCAGACAGAACATAGCAACTTAATATATTATACAGGGATTATGGAGTAATAAACAGACATAGGCTTTGTCCTTACAACCTAGGAACTTTGTGAGTTGTGAGAAAATAAGAACATCTCAAATGTCTTTATAAAATGAAAACTGAAAAGCTTGCTCAATAGACTCAGTTCCCCAAATTTGCAAGGACATAAATATTCTGGGTACAGGAACTTCCTATACCTTTCCTTCAAAACAGTCAATGAGAGAGTGAAGGTGCTTCTATGTTTTGATATTTCTAACTGCTTAATACCACAGATGCTACTAAATACTGGTGACTGTCAATAATAAGGACACTTGGAGACTTATTTAGATAGTCCTGGTACTCAGTGTCTGATATTCAGTGCCTCAGCTGCAGGCTAATCAAATCCCAAAGAAATAAATAGGAGGGAGAAAACCCTATAGAATCTAATTT